TGTTGTTGTTGTTGTTGTTAATGTTGTTGTTATTAATGTTGTTGTTAATGTTGTTGTTAATGTTGTTGTTAATGTTGTTGTTGTTGTGGTGGTTGTGGTGGTGGTGGTGGTGGTCGTCGTCGTCGTCGTCGTCGCTGCTGTTGTTGTTGTTGTCGTCGTCGTCGTCGTCGTCGTCGGTTGTTTTGGTTGTCAATTTGGTTGCATTTTGGTTGCCTTGAAGGGCCCACTTGAACAGTTTCTTTATGACTACGATGGGGAGCACCTCGGCCTTTTCTAGCTGCTATCACTTGTTCATGACCAAAGCCGTGCCATTCCTGGACTACCCACTGTGGAGTGGCAATTTCAAAAGCTAGTGGATGCGCATCTCTTGGTGAAACCAGCGCCGTCCCACACGAAGCCACGCCACCCTCATAGGCACCATCAGTGACCACGACACATAGCCAGCAAACGGAGCGAGTCGAAAATGCCTCTAGTCACGAACTTGACCTGTCTACCAATTTTCACAGGCTCCAACAGCGGAGCCAGCCACTTGTTCATCCGTCCATAGAACTTGGCAGCTGTCGACTTACTCGACCTCAGGCAAGTCCACTACGACCCCGAGCGCTACAGGACTCTTAGCTGGCGGGGGCATGCCCCATCCCAGTCATCCCAGTGTCCCCAGAGGTTCCTCCATGACCACTTGCGACCTAATCACCAGGTTGTCAACGTCAACGTGAGCATGAGAAACCTCAACCGGTGGCGCCAGAAGACATTGGACACAGAAAATTTGACACGGCCGTCGTCCGGGTTGAACACCCCGATAACCGCATTGCCGGTGTCCGCGGGGGCGAGTGCTAGTTGCTTATACGCAGACGTTCAGGTCCAGGCATCTTCCGCCCAACCTAATGGGCTGGTCCTTGAACTCTTCTGGCTTCACTCCTTTGAGAACCGCCCCAGAGGACAGCTGCACAACATCTGAGCCCTGACCTCACAAGTGGTGGAAAATTCGCTAAGGTCATCTACGTTCCTCACTTTCAGTCTTTGGACTGTTCCGCACCTCCGGCTTCAGGCAACAAAAAGGCTCCACCATTTTGCTCACCTCTGCGCAACCACCTTTTTCGCACCTCTGCGACAGTCCCAAACTTCCTGGGCGATATTGGCTGTGCGGCCGTTTAACTCTACCTCCCTTCTGGCCATGAAGAAACGCCTCCTTCCGCATAAGGACAGCGCATTATTTATCAATCCGTCAGAAGTGGCGTTCGCCACAGTCCCAAATTTTTTCAAGACAATTCCAAGTGTATCCAAGTTGTAGGAACATACGTGACCATGTGCGAAATGTTTTAGCTGGAACAAGCAAACCAAGGCAGACACCAAGCAAACAACGGAACGATTATTTCACCCGCGTGAAAGATGAACATGATATGATATATCATTGGAAGAAATTAAACGTAAGACTTGATGCACTGTGCAGTGTGCAGTTTCTGTGCTTATCAGCATGCAGTGAGGCTCAAAGGACAGCAAAAATTTTTGAACCACCCCGGGCCCCAGGCCTCAAGTTTTCTTTGCGCATCCTGCCTGGCGACTTGCGCACTTTTTCGTAGTCACTCACCCCTTCGTCGCCTCAATTTTTTGAAGTGTTGCCGACGCCGTGTTTAGACCGGTGACTGTCATGGCTCCTATTTTCCCTCCGCGAGCTCTTCATTCACGTAGGCCTAGATCAGTAGAGGGGCCCCGCTACCATGTAGGATTTTTTCTTCCAATGGCGATATGCTGGGTAGATGGCGCAAGGTGTCGAATTGTTTGCAGGCATCTAGACGAAGAGAACCGGGTTCGAGTTCGAGTTTGGAGGTTCAACTCCAATCATTGATCCCTGGGATGCTCAGTGGACGTGTTTGCTCAACGCGTCTTTCGTGAGCTTTACTATCCCGCTGTCATTGTATTAGACTGCCACAGGCGCAAACCATCGTGCAATGGAGAGCGATGACTCTGCGCTTTTAGATCCTTCTTTTCCACCGCGTGTTTCATCACGTTCTTTCGTCCTTCGTTGCGCCTCATAGCCTACCCAAGGCCGTTCGTGACCCGCCAAGTGGCAACTGAGTCGGAAACCCCGTGGAGAAAAAAGAGAGCGCGAACCCGAGGGTTTTCAAGCACTTCAAGTCTTGTGTAAGAATGGTTCTCGTGCTTGCTTTGACTTCAGTGGATTGTCAAGAATTTTTGGGGCTGATCGTGAAAGTAAATAAAGCTGTCCGTTGCAAAGTATTGGTGCCTTTAAAAAACGAGACAACAAGGAGAGGGTGTAGGAAGTGGTGGCACATCCTTGGGTGTATAGTGAAAACAGTGGTCAGTAGGATGCTCTTTACGTTTTTTGATGAATGAGTCGCGGGTAGCTGAGTGTACGTGTAGAGGGTAGCGTTTGACGTATAGTGAAGTCATGTGGTCAGTAATTTTTTTCCGCCTTCTTGATGACAGTTCAACTGTCCCGACAACATCCCTTTATCGAAAAAAGAGCCCGCAACCTAGCGTGCAACTTGTGGAGTTCTGAAGAGTATACGTTCCAGATGTACATCGCATTTGATGTTGTAGTAGGTATTTTGTTTTAGTATTGGTTACATCCGAAAAAACTGGATTGGTTTGTGCATGCATATACTGTACTATATTGTATGTTTTTTTCGAACTGCGCAACTGAACATTTGTTTGCGATGCACAAAATGTTGGCCAGACGCAGTGCAGTTGATTGAAATGCAACGGTGGGGTGGCTTCTAGCAAAATAAGTTTTGTGCGTGCCTTCTACCAAGCACGTGCGGCCCCCAACCAGGTGCAGGTGGGTGGGGCCAAAGAGATAGGAATGTTGTTGCGCCAAGTGGGTTTACAATTTCGCTTGCGGGGATTATCCATCCAGACTTGTAGGTACAGGGTGTCTTCCTGTGGAGCCTTGAAAGGGTGACTGTGATGAGATGTGGGAACAATGCACGCCTTTAGTGAGTATGTGGCGCAGGAACTATGGCACAAGTCTTGGTGAGAAGGGTGAGCCTTTGTCCGGCCAATGCCGCAGCATTTGCACAACCTGTTTTTAATGAGTTGCGTCAAGCTTCAAGATGATACAAAAAACGCACATATTATATTGTTATTATTGCACGCCGAGATGTTTGAGTGACACCACGCGCCCAGTGCCACACTTTGATGTGTTGCGTGCTGCCAACGCCCGCCAAATCATAGTTGGACTCATTCATGCACCAATTATCAACCAGCATCAAACGCCTACAGCATGCGGTGGGTGCGAGCCATGACGGCATTTGTGTAATGCCATGTGGGGAGGTCCAGGCTGGGGTCACCGTTGGTTGTTGGCAACGAGTGAAGGGCTCCCGGACCTTGACCAAACTTACGGCGCATGGATGTGATCATGATTGAAACTTGCCGCTGCCAGGGTGCGCCGGGAACTGGTCCGGTGATGGCTGGGGCAATGGCTGGGATGATTGGAGCAGCTGGGGTGATGGTTGGTACGATGAGGGATGGAACCAGCCCTGGCCCCCTGCCGGTGGCAAAATGGGCAAAGGCCGAGGAGTGACTTTGTCAGCAACACACCGAATCACCAGGAGGAAAGTTGAGCGGCCCATCCCTTGCTGGTTTGTTCTTTTCCAAAAAAATACGGCATTTGTGTCAGGAAAAGGGGGCCTATAAAGTTAGGTGGAACTCCTTATTTTGGTGCAAGCCCATGTAGTTGAAATTTTTGGTTTCATGCTCGATCCGTTCCCCACCCAGGTGCAGGCAGCTGGCGGAAAACCGCCCATGCCGCCAGCGGCCCCTGTGCCAAGCATGCCGCCAATCAAAGGCGAATCAATCAAACACCTAGTGGAGGAATGATTGAATTATTAATCATGTTTGTATTTTTTTACGTGTGTGTGTGTCAACCCCTGGGCCAAGGGTTCACCACTACCACCTTTTCCACCACAATTTTACACGCAGGGGCGTGCAGCATCTGTGGTCCACTGCACGCAACGAAGCTACGACCACAGATGGGAAGGGATCAAGGACGCTTGAACCTGTACCTGCAGATCAACACATTGACACCAATGGTCCACCCTGCCGCTGTTCGTTGGTTCCATGGTTTTTCTTCACGATACTTCCCCCAAACAGGTTTCCCACTGCAGCTTTCAGCCGCTTGTGCATTGCAGCCAGCAGAGCGAGTGAAACAATGTTAAACAGTTCAAATCACCGGACCCTTTCGCCTTTCCGTTCCCTCACCATCCTTCTCAACGTGGGAATCGAGATAACTGAATACAATTGTCAGAGTGTGTGTTTGTGTGTGGCAGCCTGGCGTTGACCACCTGAACACACAGAAGGCAAGCGTTTCTTCTTCGACACTTTCTTGTTGGCCTTGGGAAAAAAGGGCTCTGGGAAAACGTCGGGTTCTCCTGCGACCTGTCCCACTTCGGCCGGCCCGTGCGTTCAGATGTGGCATCCCTGGTGTCGCAACAGCTGTTCGCAGGCGCCGTTCCGTGGAGCTCGGTTTCGCCGGTGTGCCAAGTCCGGTGGTGCAAGGTGGCCGGCCCTTGTGGCTCCTCCGATCATCCGTTTAGTCCTTTTTGTCCTGGCGCTTGCTGGGTGCAACCTGCAGGCCAAAAGGCGCCTGGCAGTGAACCGACAGGACACTTGGGGCATTTGCGCTGCGAAATGTGACGTGGATCCAGAAACATTGTGTTGGCAAACGTTGTTCAATGCTCAGTGATCTTGCCTGATTTTGTGCCAATTTGGTTTCAGGACCTGCGCAGCCTCAAACGGCTGTGACACCTCTCCCCCCGCCGGATCTGCCGGCTCCGGCCTTGCCTCCACCACCTCCGCAAGCTCAGGAGAGTTGTTCCATGATTCATCATGGAAGGACCCACAAGTGGCCACCAAACCCATGGCATAAATCATGTATATCATGTATCATCCTAGCTTTTGGTGTTTTAGTTGCAGTTGTGGTCCATGGTATTGAACTCAGCCACGTGTCGCTGCTAGGAGGTCGGTAATGCTGTTGGCAGTGCAGGCATGGCTTTCAGTTGTTGCGGCAACACGCGCATGCATGCATGCATGCGTGGAAAAGGCTCTTCACAACCCACGCGCACACACACACACACATTCACGGTGTAACAACTACATCGGTGTTTGACCAGCTTCTACCTGATTCTACCTCACATATATATATATATAAACACATACAATATAACTGCATACGATTATAAACTGCTATCACCATTCAAAGCTCTTCGCAATTCAGCTACTCAGTTCATTTGACAACACAGCATGCAAAAGGATTCTGAACTCACTCCTGTTTGATCAGACGGTTTTGCGTTGTGGGATAATGTCCCCAACGACACAGGAAAAGCGAGCAGTTTGGATACGGCAGCGTTGCTTGCCTACCAGTTGAGCGCTTAGCCCATCGCGAGATGATTCTTTTTGGGGGAGTCATGACCCAATGCCAACAGTTTGTCAGTTGCAAATGACATATTAACGTGCTGGTCCAAGTTACTGCACGCATATCCGGCCAGAGTGTGGGTCAACACGGGTGTGGGGAGGCAGATGCAACAGCAAGAGTATGCTGATCTACCGGATGGAGGTCCTTTTGGAGGAGTCCTGGGGTGACGCCGGGACCCTCTCTGATGGCGCGCAGACGTTGGTTTGGGGTGTCTCTGTTTGATGATCTCCCATGATGACCCACCTTTGGCTCTGGTCATGAGCTTTGGCTCCGGTCCATCAGCCATCTAAAGATTGCGCGTGGTGGTTGGGAAGGATGCCCGTTCCAGGTTGCCATGGGTCCTCACCATTTCTTGGCTTGAGAAATCCACATTCGCCCTTTTTGCGCCCCCCGATCACACACAGAGGACTCTCAGATCGCGACATCACATCAGAGGTGGCCGACGGCGGTGTCGGACCATGTCGGCGGTGTTGTTTCACCCCCAGATGGAGCAGTGTTTTTCTCCAATGTGTTTTTCAAGAACGTTGATTCCTTGGGACACGAACGGATTAAACTTTGGTCAGCGTTTTCCGGTGTTACTGTTACTCCTCAAGTAGCAGCAGCACAGATGCTTCGGCAATCAGGTGAAGATTAAAGAAGATGAGTTCAGCCAAATAGCGAAGCGATGGGACATAGTTCCTGTCCTACTAGAAGAGTCGTCAATGACAAAAGCCTAGCCGTCCAGCTTTGTCTCAACCCTTGCGCGGTGTTTGTATGCCGCGGCGGATCTCCATCTCCCCCCAGCGCTCGTGCGCGTGCCGCTCGCTCTTGGAGGTTCAGAACCTCATGTCGCAGTACAAGATTCTGGACAAGAAGATTGAGATACGCCTCATCGAGGTATCTGCAGCTGGCCGCTGTTTGGGTCAGCGCTGTTTGGGAGTGGATGCTGGCAAAGGGGTTGGGGTATCAGGCTGCATCTAGCAAAGAGGGAGAGCCACTGCATTCAGTGCTGAGATGCGACATGCAACCATCATGGACGTGGACAATAGCCCCTAGAAAGACCATTTTCCTTTGCATAATTACAGGTCGTTGTCCACGTCAATGTTTGCCGGCATGAGGGCATATATCGGTGGGAATGTTGAACACAGCCCAAAGTGGAATCAATGCCAGGCGCTCAAGCTTCGCGGGGATCGCTGGGGAGCTGACGCTGGGCATTAAAGATTGTGAACATCACACCAAATCACACCATTGGTGTGTAGAACTTTGTGTTTTCTGAACTGTGCCGTTTGTGTGGAGTTGGAATTGCATAATTTGAGTGGTGCAGAGTTTCGTGACCGCATCGCATTCAAGAGACTTTCATTTGGTCCGCACACATCCCCACGCCGCGCCATGGCCTGCCCAGGACCTTCAGGACTTCCGTTCCTGCCTGTCTAGGGCACGCAACCCGGCTGGCTTCCTGATTGTGAAGCTCAGTGACATGGAGAAGGTGGGGCCGGGTGCGCCAGATTGAAGAGATGAGGTGCAGAGTGCCCGTTAGGAGGAATTGTTTAAGCAACCCGGTGTCAAAGATGTGCAATTCAGAATGCTCACTCAGTCAGTCAGTGTGCGACCACAAGCAGAACAACCCGGTGGCTAAATAAGCAGCGAGGTCCATTGTTAGACACAGTGGTTTCACAACAAACGAACCTGTTTATCATACTCTCACTGATGTCAATGCTGCTAATGATGTTAGTTGTTTGAGGTAATCGCAAGCCCGGCCATCAGTCCAATTCTGCACACCAACTCGGAAAACTCGCCAAACTCGTCAGGCCATCAATGCAGAGAAAGGCCCGCTATGGGCGATGACAGGAACGACTAACAGATAGAACAAGGAGCTGCCAGAACTTGACAGAGCCTTCTAGATTCTTGAAACCAAGCTTGGTGGTAGCAGGCAAGGTGAGGGTGGTGTCCACTTCTCATGTCCAAAGGTAGGCAGGTTTCCTCACATAAGGTGCCTTGAACTCTCCAGCTGAGCTCAGCTGATTAGCCCTGGCCACTATGGGGTGCAGGCTTGTTTTGGAGCCCAGCTTCTCAAGAAACACCACAGCAGGTGCAGATTGGGCAGGTTGGGCCCAACCCCCATCTCCAGGCACCAACATTGGCGGCGGTCGAGAGTTCTGCGCCAACTACCGGCGCGGGCACTGCAATCGCCGGGGGCCCCAAGGAGTCCGCTTCCTGAGGCATTCTATTTCCGTTAAACAGGGAGCATTACAGGGACTTCCTCAACCCCTTGCTAGAGGATGTTAGAGGATGGCCAAGGCTTTTGTACTCACTGTGAGAGTGAGTTCCTTCGAGTCTACTTTCTGCAGAACCACATCAAATCTATGCTTCAGCTCCAGAACTATCCAGCCAGCAGGATTTGGAGGTGGTATGTGAGAAGGATGTTTCGTTCAGCACCCCCCCCACCCTCGGGAACTCTTCCCCTCCACAAAGTGCAACCTGGGCTCCAAATCGACCGACTGCGGTCGCCGCGGTCGATGGTCTCCGAGACGACTCGGGCTGACAGGCGGTGATGCTTGCAAGTATTCCCACGACGTCCAGGTTGGCTTGAGCAAAGCCAATGTGGCCGGAGCACCCAACGCCGGCGCGATCGGGAATCCAGGGAAGTTGGAGGTGGGCAACTTGATTATGGCAAGATCGCCCACTGCGCCTGGGACGACTCATGTGGGCTTGTTCGGCCGCAAGCACTCGGTTTTGTAATTTTGATGTAATTGGCACTATTGGCCTGACCAAGCTTGCATCGATATTCTGCATGTTGTGTCTGTATGATGGCCTGGAACATTTGGCTTCGCTTTCTCTGATTTGAGGCCAATTTGATCGCAGAGGCGCAGAAGAATGTGGCCAACATGGGTTGCCTGGCAGACATCCGACTGATCCAGCTGTTGATTCTTAGACCATTGTTCTCACTTCAGGAATCGCCCTGCTTTGCACATCACATCCACTCACTTCCCAAGCACCACGACCTGCCCTTGTGAGGCTTCGGCTTCAGCGCGCCGGGCGCCCCACCGGCGCTGCCGCCGGCTCCGGTGGCGCCGGTGGCTCCGGCGGCGCCGGTGGCTCCGGTGGCTCCGGTCGTCCCAGCGGTCGAGCGGGTGGAGCGGCAGGCGACACGCTCGTGATGACGCGGGGGCCCGGGGAGGTGAGACCTGAGGTCCTGAGTCATGGGGAGAGATTCAGACAAGGGTGTAAGTCCAGTTTTTTGACTTAAACAAGAGCCATATGGCCATATCAGTGCCGTTTCAACGTCATTGGCACACCACGTCTGTCCAGGAGCCAAGATGGATGTCGAGATCCCCGCGGAGGAGTGGGTTCCGCCAGCAGGTTTAAAGTGCAACACCCCAAAAGCCTCAAAACCAACCCGAAGACTTACGGTCGGCCCTGCGTTTTCTTGACCCATAACCATAGAAACAGCCGTCAAATAGCAATAGTAGTTGCCAATCATCAGAGTTCTGACTACTCAAGTGCCATGGTGTCGAAGTAACACGCCCCCTGTGGCCCGATGGTCCAGGAGCCCCCCGCGGCGGCGCAGCCGCAGCGTGCGGCGGAGCCCTCCACGGCGGCGCACCCCCCCGCGGCGCGACAGCCGCGCGCGGCGCAGCCCGCGGCGACGGAGCAGCCGAAGCAGGGGACGGCGGCGGTGAGGGATGGGAGCGATGTGAAGGGGTCTTCTTGCTTGGTGAAGCTCTAAGCTAAGACAAGGTCTACCACATTGATCGTTTAGTGATGCCATAAATCATTGCTTCACCCGGTGGCCGGACAAATGCCGACTGCCCTGCTTCGTCTCATGCTCATGGCGCTCATGGATGTGATCGAAGAGGGTCCAGGAGTAAAAGCCTTCGTGCGGATGTGGTTGAGGAACAACTGTGAGTTACGTTGCATGTGCCACTTTTCAGCCGACACCTGTGCACATGGCCTCCATGTCAGCAGATGTGTTATTTTGGCAGCGCATTCGCAAGATTTCTGCAAGATTTCTAGGCTTGCACCTTGAGAACTTCAGCTCATAAAACCGTGCTGTACATCGCTTACTGTATTTGTTTGAGCAAGGCTGTTCTACTTGATGGACCTCAAGGCTCTTCTTAATTTCTTAGTTCATTGGGGATCAGTGAGCCAATCCATTAGGCAGCTCATGGAGACTTATGTTGTGCTAGCTATAAATTTGGGGACCTTCCACGGCTATGATATGGCAGCTGCTGCTTCAATGAGGGCTGAAGGCCTGGGCTATGGAGCACGTTACAAACAGAGTCGAGAGAAGAGGGATCCGCTGGGCCAGGTGAATTGTGGACATGTTAGTGTTGAAGTAGGTGTTGTCGGTTGCCTTTAGCCTTGCTAGCTGCTTTTGGCCATGTACTTGTTGAAGTTGGCTTGCTACCGGCTCAAGCTGGGTAAGCTGAAGATGGCAACCGCGTCAGTGTTGAGGTCTGCAGAGGTAGGTGTCAGAGTGAGGAGAGGAGCTGATTGGAGGTGGGGCGACCAGGATGGAGGAGGTCCAGGCACCACCGTGCCTGCCGACGATCTTGAAGATGGCTGGGTGCGCGTGAAGTGGGACCAGGCCTGCAAGGCCAACCGCTACAGGGTCGGGGCAGATGGAAGCTATGACCTCAACATTGACGCGTCCCCAGCTCCATCAGCACAACCTGGAGAAGTTCTGAGGTTTGCGGAGGTAGGCATCAGAGTGCGAAGAGGGCCTGATTGGCAGTACGGTGGCCAGGATGGGGGAGGCTTGGGCACTACAGAGGAGGATCCTGATCCAGGGTTTGTGCGAGTGAGGTGGGACCATTTGCTTTGGACATGCAGCTATCGAGTGGGTGCTTCTGACAGGTACGATTTGAGAGTGGCTGAGGCCAGTGGAGCCAGCGCAAGCAGCCAGACGAGCACCGAGACAGAATCTGAAGATCTGGAGGTGCTGGCCACTCCAAGTGTAGTTTTGAGGTCTGCAGAGGTAGGCATTAGAGTGAGGAGAGGACCTGATTGGAAGTGGCATGACCAGGATGGAGGAGGTCCAGGCACCACGGTGCCAGGTGCTGATGAAGATGGCTGGGTTCGTGTAAGGTGGGACCATGCCAGCAGGGCAAGCAACTACAGGGTCGGTGCACAAGGATGTCATGACTTGGTGATGATTGATCTCTCTCCAACACCTTCAGTGCAGCCTGGAGAAGTTTTGAGGTCCTGCATTGCGGGCGTCAGAGTGAGGAGAGGACCCGATTGGAGCTGGGGCGACCAGGATGGAGGAGGTTTAGGCACCACACGAGCTGATCCAGACCCAGGCTGGGTCAAGGTCACATGGGACAACGGCGGCACGAACAGCTATCGAGTCGGCCGTGGGGGGCACTATGACTTGATCGTGGCCCAGGCAAGCTCCCCAAGCTCCCAGCGGAACATCACGGTGGGGAGCAGAGTGAGGTTCACAGAAGACAGTCGAAACGTTGACTTTGCCGAGTGCCCGGGTACAGATTTGAGCTTCTCAGTGGGCGACACGTGCACTGTTCATGAAGTACGTGGAGATTGGTTCATCCCAACGAGGTGGAGAAATCTTTGGGCTCCGCTGAGGGCCGTCGAGCTCCTTGAGACCTCTGACGCGATGGCTACGCCTATGGTGCGACCTGGAGAAGTTCTGAGGTCTGCGGAGGTGGGCATCAGAGTGAGGAGAGGTCCAGACTGGGAGTGGCATGACCAGGATGGAGGAGGTCTAGGCACCACGGTTGAAGGTAGTGACCGTGATGGCTGGGTGTTTGTGAAGTGGGATGCTCACGGCCGTGAGTACAACTATCGGGTCGAAAGAAGCTATGATCTCATTGTCGACCAATCTTCGTTCTTGAGCTCTGCTGAGGTGGGTGTCCGAGTGAGGGCAGCTCCAGGTTGGGAGTGGGGTGATCAGGATGGAGGAGGTCTGGGAACCACGGTGGAGGCGAGTGGCCCAGGGTGGGTGAGAGTCAGGTGGGACCACGGCAACACCAATGGTTACCAAGTTGGTGCCAATGACACCTATGACTTGATCATTGCCCAAGCGCCTTCAGCACAACCTGGAGAAGTGCTGAGGTCAGCGCAGGCGGGCGTCCGGGTGAGGAGAGGCCCTGGTTGGTCTTATAGTGACCAGGACGGAGGTGCAGGAGGCCTTGGGATTACCACCGGTGAAGGACGCCTGGGCGTGAGGGTCAGATGGGACTGGGACCATGGCAGCTCAGAGGGCAGGTACAGCTATCGCATTGGTCCTCACCGGTTCGATTTGATCGTGGTGGGAGTTCCAGGGAGGGAGCAAGCGGACGCAGCAGAGCAAGCCCCATCCCATACCACTACTTCAGCGGAGCCAGATGGAGGCTATGATGAGCAGTGGCTAGATGTGGCAGAAGCGGCCAGCATGCAATGCCCCATTTGTATGTGTGTCGCACGGAATGCAATGGCACATGACTGTGGAAATCTCTTCTGTGAGATTTGCTGGATCAGATGGATGGCCGAAGACAATCCCACTTGCCCCGTGTGCAGAGAGCTTGGCGAGGGCATCGTCCGGGCACCGCGCGATCGACGCAAGATCTCGAACCTCATGATCAGATGCCAGGGCTGCAAAGAGAGCATCCGCTTGGCCGACAAGGAGAAACATGTGTCTCAATGTCCCAAGCTGGTGCCACGCAGCGAAGGTGAGATAGGCCAGCAAGAGCTCAGCGAACAGCTCGATCTGACCTGAGAGTGTCCCATTTTTTAGTGCAGAGTGTTTTCACCGCATTGTCTTTCCCCCTTCGGCTTGCCGTTATGCAACGCGGATTTTAACTGCCCTGCTCTCGGATGTGCAGATGTACAGAAGGGCCGAACGAGCTGGCTGCCAGCGGCAGGGGCAGGGACCTATTTACACCTATTTTATCTCTCCCCCCGCAATGGGGTAGTTTGCAAAGGACGTATGCTGAGCCGAGCACGGCCCTCGGACAGACATTATATAAACTTTGGAACATGACCTGATTAAACGTGCGTTCTTTTAAAGATAGGCTCAGAGATTTTCAGATCCATTTTCTCTCCATGGGCAGTCTCAGGACCGAACTAGGCAAGACTAAGCTGCACGTCTTGTCGAGGTGTGCAGCGGGCAGGAGCTGCAAAATGATGGCATCTCGCGATTGCCGTGTTGATCGATCTGAGTCATCTCGCTTTCTTGTGTAGATGTCCATGCTTGCATGACGCAACTTGCCAGATGGCTCACCTCTACACAGATGCTTCACACGTGCAGATGGGTGTGCCCAGATTCGGCATCTCTTCGCATCCCAACGTGGCCAGGCGGATGACGTCCGGCTGTGGCGGCCTGGCGGCCGACCAGGCCGACCACCCTTTGGCAGGGAGGTGTGAGGGTGTGAATCATGGAGGGGAAACTTAGACCATCATGCCACAAAAACACACATTCAATCAGCTGC